GCAACACATGGGGTCAGCAGAAGAGTTAACTTAGTTTTGGTTTTAGATTTTTAAGACACCATTCATTCAATCAATCATTTCATCCCAACACTCATTTTCAATCACTTTTTGATCATTGAATTGATTTTAATTATTTTTTAATGAAATTTTGCAACTTTTCAAATGAGTGCACATTTTATGCCATTCCCATCACTTCCCAATTGAATTGAGTCTAAGACATGAATTATTGCAATATTACAAACATTTAATGTTTTCCATTTACATTCAATTCGCATAGGAATTGATGCATAAATATAAATATAAGAAAAATAAATTTTTAATGATTTAATTAAATTTAATGATAACATAAAGCGATATAAATGTGTGAATGCAGTGCCGGTAGAAGTGCCGCCAAACCAAACCTAATTGTGTGTGTGTTGTGATGAGTGAACGGTCCCTCGCATTGCAAAGGTTTGTAAACATTTCGTTCATTCATTCAAACGATTTGTTTTCGCATTTAATTAATAATTAGATATTAATTCAAACATTAATTAAATGCTATGTTTGACGACAACTATAGTTCACAGTATTATATGTGATATTCAGTTAGTGTTGAATCAGTTGCTGAGACAGTGTTTCATATGAAAGGTATTTATTGATAGCTATCTGTTAGCCATCGCTTCAATGCTCGCACTCCCGAAGAATGGTTTGTTTGTATGAATGACTCAAACCTTGTCTTATCTTTACTGAAGGGATGGCAGCGATATCCAGCGCACGCTCGAAGGTGTTGTCCAACTGGTCATCAAGTCGTATGGAAACAGAAGTGGTGTCGACGGCAACGATAACAGCGTGTCCTCCAGTTGTTGACGTTAACCATCAATCGGTGGTGAATGAGATGCCAAAGAGTGACTCATCGGAGTCACAGACAGCTTCTCTTGTGGACACGAGTCAACAAAATGGCAATCAATCACTGATTAGCGATATATATATCCCTAATCGAGACAACCCTTCGGCCAAAAGCGTTGAACCAAAACCTAAAAAGTCTAAAACAGTGCCAAAGAATGTGGTGAAGAAGAAGAGTGAGACCAACAATGATATGAAGAATGAGCTGAAGATTAAGATGAATTTGAATGCGAATCCAAAGCCAATTGAGAAGAAGCGGCGAATTTCGCGAAGGAATGGCAACAAACCGGTGGTCGTGAAGGACCTCTCGGACGCCAAAGGTTTCCTCGCCTTCTGTACGCAGAAGTACCCGCCGACCAAAGAAGGCATTCCCTTCATACAGGACCGGAGCACAGCCCTTGAGTGGGTGCTGAAGTTGCGGGGCGTGTAGTGAGTGACGTACCTAACGTCGCTTTTCTTCTCAGTCAGGGTCTGGACAGCGAAGATAGTCATGTCTTGAGAGCAGGTTTGGTTGCGCCAGTTAGTTGTGTACGCGTTCGCTGAGGAGGGAAACGCCACTCACACGGACACCAAGCTATGGCTGCCGCATTTGGAGTCCAAAAACTTGGATCCCATGAACGCCCAGTATTTGTTGACTTTTGTTGGCCAACAGTTCTGTCAGATCTATGCCGACGAACAACGAGTGATGAAGAAGTATGTGTCGATCACATGGAAGAAGCCGGTCAAAGGGGTTCGCGAGTTGTGTGATGTCTGTAAGACCACTATATTCAACACACACTATGTCTGTCCCAACTGTGGATTCGCTGTCTGTGTGGACTGTTTCGATGTGCGCCAGGAATCCACTGTTCGGCCTAATCCTCACTCCACGAGAGGCAAGAGTAACGATGAGTTCGGTTGGAGTTTGTGTCACGAGAAGCGAAAACACGACAAAAATGACTTCCATTTGGCGCTCTTCATCACAAAAGCCGTCTTCGCACTCATTGATCTCCTTTCGCACCAAATTAGAAATGATTACAGGATTCCCGGTATTTGTGAATGCAATCAATTGGACCCTAAACTCAACGTCGATATGAGGCAACAGTGCGCCACAGTTGATGTCAAGACAATGTACCCGGATGTGCCCCGGAAGTGGTACTTCTCGGACCGTATGCTTGTGTTGACTGAACCCAAATGTTTAGACAATTTGAAGTTATTTCAATTGTATTGGCTTAAGGGTTATGTATGTAGTATTGAGACATTTGGAGTGTTTATATGAATATTAATGTGTTTTTGTTTTCTTATGCAAAGCCTGTGATGATTCAAAATGTGGACAAATACCTGAATCGAGATATTTGGACGCCTCAAGTATTCAACAAGAGGTACGGCAAACAGTCTAATCTTTTGGTGAATTGCATGAATGGAGACAAGGAGTTTGTGTCACGAGAAGCGAAAACACGACAAAAATGACTTCCATTTGGCGCTCTTCATCACAAAAGCCGTCTTCGCACTCATTGATCTCCTTTCGCACCAAATTAGAAATGATTACAGGATTCCGGGTATTTGTGAATGCAATCAATTGGACCCTAAACTCAACGTCGATATGAGGCAACAGTGTGCCACCGTTGATGTGAAGACAATGTACCCGGATGTGCCTCGGCAGTGGTACTTCTCGGACCGTATGCTTGTGTTGACTGAACCCAAATGTTTTGACAATTTGAAGTTATTTCAATTGTATTGGCTTAAGGGTTATGTATGTAGTATTGAGACATTTGGAGTGTTTGTATGAATATTAATGTGCTTTTGTTTATATATGCAAAGCCTGTGATGATTCAAAATGTGGACAAATACCTGAATCGAGATATTTGGACGCCTCAAGTATTCAACAAGAGGTACGGCAAACAGTCTAATCTTTTGGTGAATTGCATGAATGGAGACATCATTAAATCACAGCCAATGAGTGTCTTTTGGGACGGCTTTGAAGACATTGACAAACGGCTTAAAGACGAGAAGGGAAATGAGATGATCTTTAAGCTGAAGGACTGGCCGCCATATGCAGAGTTTAGAGACATACTTCCCATTTGGTTCGATGATCTCATGCAAGCGCTCCCACTCCAAGAGTACACCAGATATAATGGCACCCGAAATATCGCGTCACGACTTCCCGATTACTTCGTGCGCCCGGATTTGGGACCAAAGATGTACTGCGCGTACGGGTCTGTCCTCCACGCGGACAAAGGGACCACTAATTTACATCTGGATATGAGTGATGCCATCAATGTTATGGTTTACGTCGGAGTCGCACAACAGGACAACAAACCGCTGGAATCGCACCTGAAGGCGGCCGCCGACACATTCTTGAAGGGTGGGTGCGATCCGCAGATGATGTCGAGGGCCACAAACTGTGAGTTGACAGCCGGCGCTCTCTGGCATATATGGCGCGCAGAAGACGCGGACAAAATGCGTGAATTCATCCTCAAAGTGGCAAAAGAGGACGACCTACGCATCGATCCAAACAGTGATCCCATTCACGACCAGAGCTGGTATATCGATGAGACACTACGCAAGCGACTGGAGGTCGAGTACGACGTCAAAGGGTTGGCGATTGTGCAGTGTTTAGGCGACGCTATTCTGGTACCGGCCGGCGCTCCCCATCAGGTGCAGAACATCCACTCGTGCATCAAAGTGGCCGGGGAGTTCGTGTCGCCCGAGAATGTCGGCCATTGCGTGACTCTCACTCAGGAGTTCCGGAAGCTATCCAAACGCCATAACAATCACGAAGACAAACTGCAGATCAAAAATATCATATACCATACGATCAAAGATAGTCTTTCACTACTTCTACCGCAACACCGTTTGGCTTCATTGTTGCCGAAGCCTCCGCCCATACCTGTCCCACAATCACCGCATAAAGTGTTGTTAAACAGCACGCCTTCCTTCAATGCAAACTCACTTATGATTTCTGAAGCGCACAAACCTTTGGACCCGCAGACGGCTTCTTCACCCATAGAGAACTCTCTCCTAACGCCTCCCAATAGTGTGGAAAAGTTGAAGAATGACTTGAATGGCGAGACATTCAATGATAACTCTAACAATACCGTCGACTCTACCCTAACAGTCACTGATGCAGCCAATGAGACGGATAAGCCATCGCTTCACAGGAGTCGGCTAGGACTTAACTGACTTTGCCTCCTTTGTGAACTTCTCTGTAGCGCAGGTAGAAGCGGAGGTGAAGATTTCTAACTCCTGTTGCATTACTAACTCAGCTTTTAACTTAGTAATCTAGAGCCGCCAGTTCTTGAGCCGTATTCGCAATGCGATGACTGGAACGCCGACTTAAACCCAAATGGTACGGGTGCTCATTGACTTTAATGAGATTTTTATATGCAGTCAATTAATTAATCGATCAATAAATGAAAATTTAATTTATAATTTGATCATATATTACAATTATAATTAGGTAACAATTAATACATTTGTATATAAATTCTGTTATAATTAATGATTTTTATGATCTCTTTAAGTGAATATCATTTCGACTTTTTTGTGTTTAATTTTGTTTTAATTCATTAAAATCGATTTTATTAACTATACAATGATTTGTAGTATGATTGCTATAGAAATGGTGTTACTGTGGACGGGCTGGGCGTGTAGAACCCCTGTCTCTAATCTGGTCTAAAAATGGCAACTGAGTGCCCGAACCCGATGGTCTCCCATCTGACGGTCTTTTGTTGATCTGAACGACTGTTGGCTGAAATGTTTTGACAGTCCTCAGCCGATCCTGAATTGACTGAAACGGAGGAAACACTTGAAGAGACATCGCGTCCATCTTCGCCTCCACTTCTAAAGATTGAGGACAACGTAATGATTGAGTCGAAAATTGAATCATTAGATCAGCCGCCAGTTCTTGAGCCGTATTCGCAATGCGATGACTGGAACGCCGACTTAAACCCAAATGGTACGGGTGCTCATTGACTTTAATGAGATTTTTATATCCAGTCAATTAATTAATCGATCAATAAATCAAAATTTAATTTATAATTTGATCATATATTACAATTATAATTAGGTAACAATTAATACATTTGTATATAAATTCTCTTATAATTAATGATTTTTATGATCTCTTTAAGTGAATATCATTTCGGCTTTTTTGTGTTTAATTTTGTTTTAATTCATTAAAATCGATTTTATTAACTATACAATGATTTGTAGTATGATTGCTATAGAAATGGTGTTACTGTCGAGCCCGACCCGCACATCTTGGGGACAGAGATTAGACCAGATTTTTACCGTTGACTCACGGGCTTGGGCTACCAGAGGGTAGACTGCCAGAAAACAACTAGACTTGCTGACAACCGACTTTACAAAACTGGGGAAAGTCGTCGTCGTTTTCAGAGTCATAGTCCGGGGTTTCGAAGTTGAAGTCGATGTTAGAGCTGAGGGATGAGTCAGGACTGGGCTCTGTCTCTGGCTCTGGCTTATTGACTCTCGCGGCCGCCTCTCTGGCCAAAGACATGAAACTCTTGGGCCCTTCGCTGCCAACTCGCGGCTCAAATTTGTTTCGCTCTTTATTTCTGAGTATATTTTTGTGCATTTCGTTGGAGACGTTCCGTTGGATGTCATGAGCGCTGAAATGTGGTTCTGGAGGCGGCGCTGGAGGTAGTGTTAGTTTGGGGTGACTTTCCTCTGGAATCAAAGTACTTGCTGTTGAACTCAATTGAGACAACTGTGGACTTGCATTGAGTTTGGGCTTGGGTTGGTCTCTAAAGCTTATGGATCGGATCGGGCGAGAGTTGGACAGTACTGACGGCGACTGCGAGTCCTCACTGTTCTGACGCGACCCATACTTGAGTCCCTGGAAAGGCTCGGGTGCTATAGATATTCGTCGCCAGTCAACGGTATTTCGTTTGTTGATCAGCACCTGACCAACGCTTTGACGTCTCAACCCCTGAATGTTTGGCACATCTTTGTAGACATGAAATGAAGTTAAATATCAACTCATATAGTATTTCATTCATACATACCATCACTGGTTATACTCATAATTCTTCTGCGAAAGGCTTCGTTGAGATCAAGCGGTTGTGATGTCTGTGGCTTAACGAACACCGATTGCCGCCGATTCTTAGGTCCACTCGTTTTGACAAAATTGTTGTCCATTTCTGATATCACATTCACGCCTTGCTTTTGAATCCTTTTAGTGAACTGAACGGCATTTTTATTAAAATTGTCACTGAATTTCTCGTTCACATTCTTGGGTTTAAAGAAGTCAATTGTGGTGAATGCCTAGTTTACTCGATTACAAGGCTTGGCTACGTATTTGTAGGGCTAGTTAACCTACTAGTCTTATGACGGCTTCTTATGGTGATTATGGTGTGATTACCCTAGGTATGACTGGAGGAATATCTACCCGACTAAGTCATAATTCTCTGTCTTTTCATTGTATGTCTTGTTGTAGTGATCTATTCCAGAGGGCAAATGGATGCTGAAGACGTCTGCGTGTAATTGCAAGAGAAATACAAACAAAATGAAGATTACGTTGATTATGCCGAAAGCAAACACAGCTTTATTCCTCAACTCTATGAGGTCATTGGCGATACGCTTCTGTTCCGCCGGATTCTCATCTAATGGCAGCAGATATTTGGGAATAAATGTATTCCAGAAGTCAGACTCAAGAGGAGTGAGGTCAACGTATGGGAATTTGCGTAACTGCTTATCCCGGGCCCACTTCGGCCTATTGGCCATCGAAATCGAAACCGATTCTGTTTCTGACGGATCGGGTTTCACGTGATCTTGAAGTAACGATGAGCTCTCGTTTGTGGACTCGTCCTCGTCTTCGTCCTCCTCGTGAATAGAGAGACGATTAGAGAAGTTGTCGTTTTGGTCGCGATTTTGAAACGATTTCCTCCGGAATACAGACGTCCGCCGAAAATCAAATGAGCTAATGTTCCGAACCGATGCATAAACATCCCGATCAATTGGATGATCAGAATACTGCCGAAGAATACCACTAATACCACACTAATGGGATCCATACTGACCTCCTTATAGATGGGCTTTAAGTCATAATTCTCTGTCTTTTCATTGTATGTCTGGTTGTAGTGATCTATTCCAGAGGGCAAATGGATGCTGAAGACGTCTGCGTGTAATTGCAACAGAAATACAAACAAAATGAAGATTATGTTTATTATGGCGAAAGCAAACACAGCCTTATTCCTCAACTCTTTGAGGTCACTGGCGATACGCTTCTGTTCCGCCGGATTCTCATCCAATGGCAGCAGATATTTGGGAATAAATGTATTCCAGAAGTCAAACTCAAGAGGAGTGAGGTCCACGTATGGGAATTTGCGTAACTGCTTATCCCGGGCCCACTTCGGCCTATTAGCCATCGAAATCGAAACCGATTCTGTTTCTGACGGATCGGGTTTCACGTGATCTTGAAGTAAGGATGAGCTCTCGTTTGTGGACTCGTCCTCGTCTTCGTCCTCCTCGTGAATAGAGAGACGATTAGAGAAGTTGTCGTTTTGGTCGCGATTTTGAAACGATTTCCTCCGGAATACAGACGTCCGCCGAAAGACAAAAATAAGACAATTCCTCGCAATTGTACGGTTGATATCATCTCAAGAATTATATTTCCATTTTGTTTTAGTTTGTCTCTCATTTCATTTACTGTTATTTATTATTTTATTGAATAGTTAACATAAATTAATAATCGTATTGAGGATTATTCAAATGACGTAACATAATTAATCAAATAATTTATAAATACTAATATTTTTAATTAGATATTTAATTGTATGATAAATTTTGATTATTAATAAATTGTATACATTTATTATCCAGAATTTATTTTTAAATACAGTATATAAAATTTATATTTAACCTATTGACATAATGACATTTTAATATGTTAACGATAATAATTTGTGTTGAATAAAGAAATTAAGCTTTAATATTGATATATAATGTTCTCATATTATACATAATGTTCTCATAACAAATATTTTACCATTTCTCAGTAAAACTTAAAAGTACACTAAAACTGTAAATCCTAAATGCATATTTTATGGTAAAATAACATTATGAATACAAAACAATTTATGATTTAATATATTTAATACATGTATTATATAGGATTGTGATTGTCTTTACAATAAAAGCGTCAATAATCATGACTTTCACAGAAGATATGATTACTAGTAATATAACAAAACTTTCGCGGATAGCGTCAAAAATGTAGATTAAATATTGAGAGCCTTTTGATTATCAGTTTAGAAGAATTAATTCAATGTCAGATATTTTGCACATATTCTGTATATAATATATGACATTTGATTGTAGTTTTTATTGTTAAATCAATTATTATCTCTCACTAACTTTAAGTTCCTATTAGTGCTCAATTCATTTCAATTGCTCTAAAAATAATATGAAATTTTTTAACTTATTCTGTGAAACATGTGCTGAAAGTAGATAACACCCCCTAAACACTAATTTTGTAAATTGTGGCTAAAATCCTTGCAAAAATCAGTTTATTATTATAATCGTGATCCTATAAAAGATATTTAATATTTTAAAGTTAGTTGTGTCGGTTCTCTCACAAACAATTGAATTTTAAGTAATTCTTATTAAAATAATATCTCGGTNAATTCTTATTAAAATAATATCTCGGTTATAATCTAAAAGATTGACACATATTATTACACAACTATGGAATCAGTCGACGGTTATCTGAGTTGACACTTAAGTGAAAAATAATTTCAAACATATTAAATGAAAAAACAATTGAATGGCGAGAAGTATAGATAACTGAATAGGAATTTGTAATTTTGATATACATGTAAACGTTTGATTTAACTAGAAATGAATCACAAAATTCTGTACTAAAATAAGTCGATTCAATGAAAACACTTGAAACAAACAACTGTTTATAATGAGTTTATGAACATTAAGACCCATTGAAGACATGTCCATCATTTGGAAACCTCGTCCGCCATCCTTTCCACCCAACGATCGGATCCCTTACACCGCCGCTGAAGTCAATGAATTCGATAACATCGAGGATCTCAACATCAGATACAATGAGGAGATCACAGAACCGAAAGAGACATTTGAATACTATTACGATCAGAGGTCACCCCTAGAAGCCGGAGATTCGGTGGCTTTGAGACAAAAGCAAAGGAATCCTATGGTGTCCACAGGTGTCAGATCTAATGACGAGGAATCCAATGCTGACAATCAGTCAAGAAATGTCAGATTTTCTGCTTTTAGGGCACAGGAAGGCATTGATAACGATGTGTTTGATCCCGAAGAGGGAGTGGTTCTCAGGAGGAAAACTAATAGTAATAATGATCACGACTTGAATAAAGATTTTGATTTCGATTTTGAGGACATTAATCTAAATAATGAGTGAGTTTTTGATCTAATATAATTTTTTGAACGTTAAAAAATTAATATAACTATTTTATAATCAATTAGATTTTTAAAATATCTTAAATTTTATTTTGTTTATTATTAAATAATGCATAATACTGTACAGTAATGCATTTTAAAAATTAAATTAACTTTTCGTAATTTTATAAAAGTAAATATAATTCAAAAATGTATATGTGCTAAAATTCGAAATAAGTGAAGTTATTACAAATTATAAACATTGAAAAATTTGATTAATGTTAAAAAATATTAATTAGTAATCTTGTGATGAAGTGTCCAGTACTCGAGTTTACATACAAAATCGTTAAATTTAAATCAAAAACTTAATTGTAAATATTAATAAGTCTAAAATGTACTTAAAAACATTTATTTAAAATATCATTATTGTAACAAATTCTTGTTAATTTTATTGTCATATCAATTGTGACCTTTTCATAATTGACTCAATCGTATAGCAATAGTATTGATTAGATATTAGCTTTCATTTATTACATTTGATATAAACTACGGAATGTATAGAAACAGGAACTCATGCTAATCAAACCACGGTATATTTAAAACATTTATGATAAGCTTATCTTATGTTATGAACTTTATTATTAACTATATTTTGTTTAGTTTTCAAATCTGAATGAAATTACCTATCAAATTAGAAAATGACAGACAATACAAACTTGATTATATAAATCCGGATTTAAATTCTCTTTGAATGATTGAATAATAATTGAGAGACAGAGTGGGTGTTAAAGAGGTATATGTTTATCAAAGACTCACTTTTAGAAAAATAATAAGAGATAAGAATAAACTGAAAATAAATTATTTCATAAACAATTTAAAATTAATATGAAATTAAAGTTTAAAATGCAATCCTCGACAGAGAGGAAGAGAAGCCGTGGGATGTGTTTAAGACACTTCCACCGCCTGATGCGGACGAGACACTGGACGGCGCTTGGGTTGAGTTCTTCGTGAAATGCGCCAAAATATTCACATATTTCCTGACATTTGTTGTGACACTTATGTCTGCAGTTCTCTCCAAATCACTCATACTTTTGATGACATCCATGATTCGCGTGAACCAAACGGTTCCCATTTGTAGTGATCACTACTTTGACATCGAACCAGAACTCGACATTAAGAACCGCTATAATGTCATCTACGAAGCCACAGATCCGACAAGAATTGCGTGGATTTGGTGCCTATTCTTTGCAATCATAGCGCCCGACGTTTTTGCATTCGGACGTAGTTTTAGGATTTGTTACTTCAAGACATACCAAATCCCACAGTTATTCACTTTTTTAACGGTTAGTTCAAGTGGATTTGGTGCCTATTCTTTGCAATCATAGCGCCCGACGTTTTTGCATTCGGACGTAGTTTTAGGATTTGTTACTTCAAGACATACCAAATCCCACAGTTATTCACTTTTTTAACGGTTAGTTCAGAATTAAGTTTAAAAAACTTAATTTAAAGTTTATTAAAATGTTTTTTATTTATAGGTTTTATTGATGGAAACGTTGCACTCAATCGGCATTTCTTTATTAGTATTCTTTATTCTTCCGACAATTGATGTGATAAAAGGATCAATGATTACAAACAGTGTGTGTCTAATACCAGCACTTCTGCTCCTACTTAAGCCAAATGAGTCCAAAAATTCTACTAAATTAGGGAACAATAATGCAAATGAAGTCAAACCAAAAGTCAATTTAAATTATTATATATTAATAATAGCGACTGTTTGTCAAGTCTTGGGATTAGCTTTTTGGCCGATCATTACATATTATGATAAGAAAAGTGCCATACAATTCTGGTTTTTGCCACTCACTCTGATATTGATATCAATGAGTTGGTGGGAAAACTTTCTGAACCCCACTTCCACTAACATATTGGTTAAAAAGTTAATGGTGGCTAAAAGGGATTTATCCAAAAGTCGATATTTTACTTATGTTTTTATGTCCATTTGGAAAATGATTGTCGTATTTGTGTTAATGATTTTAATCATATATCTAAACGACGGCACGGATGCCATCAAAAGCACATTTACTGATTTTGTCAAAAGTTTTAGTAAATACACGGTTACAGTGATCGAAGACGCCGACAAAGTGAACACAAAAACTCATACGATGACAATACACGACCCTTTGATTCCCGTTTGGATTCTATTGATACAAATTAGTGTCACTTATATCTGCTATGCATTCGCCAAGTTTGCCTGTAAGATACATATTCAGGCATTTAGTTTCGCAGTACCCGTCAACTTAGCCGTTCCCATCACCATATCCTTCCTGTGGGTTATGATTGAGATGGCGGCTGAAGACAAGTGTGCGATCTGTGAAGGCTTTCACGGCTTTCAATACATCTATTGGTTTACACGAGAGAGCAATGCATTGGATTATTACAAGGATTGGTACAACTTTTTGATGCCAATTGTATGGTTCCTATCGTTGGCCTCACAGATAGTCATAGCGATCCACATGTGGTCGGCCGCCAGCGCGCGACTCGCCTCAACCGAAGAGCTCTTCATAAACCCAATGTATAGCTCAGTACTCGTCGACCAATCGCTGGCAATGAATAGACGAAGATTTAACTTAAAGGACGAACTATTGGCTGACGACGAGGAGAGGGTCAAGAAGTTAGCGGAAAACGATTTGTACGAATCTCTCAAAGATCCCACGCCTGAGCCCACGGCCGCACCCGACGCCCGATCGGACGAAACGATCCGGATCTTTGTGTGCGCGACGATGTGGCACGAGAGCAAGGAGGAGATGATCCAAATGCTCAAAGCCGTCATGAGGTTGGATGAGGACCAGTGCACCCGTAAGAACGCACAGAACTTCTTCGAGCTCTCGCCGGTTATCACCGATTATTATGAGATTGAGTGTATGTTTTGCACCAAATCAGTGATAATTTAGTGGAGATTTAATTTGCAGTTGTATTTCCAGTCAATATCTTCTTCGACGATGCCTTCGATCAGGGCGTCAGTGATGACGAGGACGACCGTAAGATCAATAGGTTTGTGGTGCAACTCATTGAGACCATGGATGAGGCGGCCAGTAATGTCCACGAGACCATCGTTCAGCTCAAAAAGCCAAATCTTGTGCCCACACCCTATGGCGGACGTCTCGAGTGGACACTTCCCGGACAGAACAAACTGATCGCTCATCTGAAGGATAAGATTCTGATTCGTCACCGAAAGAGATGGTCTCAGGTATTGTCACCTAATACTACAAAATGATGTGAAATTAACGTAAATGTCTGTCTATGTGTCTGCAGTGTATGTACATGTATTGGCTGTTAGGACACAGAATCGCTGAATTGAATATCGATGAGAGACGGAAGGAGACCATAGCTATGCATACATTCATACTGGCCCTCGACGGAGACATTAACTTCAGACCACATGCTCTCCATTTGGTGGTCGATCTAATGAAGAAAAACAAGAAATTGGGCGCCGCTTGCGGTCGCATTCACCCGATTGGTGGCGGACCTATGGTTTGGTATCAGGTGTGCCCTAATTTGTGTTGATTTGTTTGAGAAATTTCTAAACAAATTGTATTTTGTATGAAACGACTGCAGAAATTCGAGTACGCGATCGGCCATTGGCTGCAAAAGGCAACGGAACACGTGTTCGGGTGTGTGCTCTGCAGTCCCGGCTGTTTCTCACTGTTTAGGGCCAGAGCTGTGATGGACGACAGCGTTATGCACAGGTATACCACTAAACCCACGGAAGCTTTGCATTACGTCCAGTATGACCAGGGTGAGGACCGGTGGCTCTGCACTCTACTTCTGCAACAGGGATGGTATGTATTATTTCTAATGAGTTTCAGTTCATATCGATACTAATAATTGTGTCCAAATTGAAGGCGCATTGAATACTGTGCCGCCTCTGACTCCTACACTCACGCACCCGAAGGTTTCGGTGAGTTCTATACACAGCGTCGGCGTTGGGCGCCCTCAACGACGGCTAATATATTGGATCTGTTGGGTGACTACAAACACACCGTTCACTGCAATACAGACATATCCAGACCCTATATCCTATATCAGGCCATGTTATTGGTGGGAACCGTATTAAGTCCGGGCACTATATTCCTAATGACTGTCGGCGCTATGAAAACAGTGATGGGAATGAGTTCTCAAAATTCTTTGATCATAAATATAGTCCCGGTTTTACTATTTTCTATCATTTGTATGACTGTCAAGAAGAATGATATCATAATTTTCGTGGCAATGATTTTGAGCACAATATATGCGCTGTTGATGTTAGCCGTGTTGGTGGGCACAGGGCTTGAGATCGCAGATAAGGGACCCCTCACTCCCAACTCCATATTCTTCTTGGGAATGATGGGTAGCTTTATTGTCGCCGCTATTCTTCACCCGCAAGAGTTTGCGTGTGTTATACCACTCCTGTTATATATGCTACTCATCCCCAGTATGTATATGTTTCTAACCATCTATTCGGTGACAAACATGCATATCGTTTCGTGGGGTACGCGAGAGGTTAAGTCCAAACTGACGGCTAAGGAGGCGGCGGCTCAGGCAGAGGCGGCCCGACTCGAAGCCGAGGCCAAGAGTAAGAAGAAAAGTTTGTTAGGATTCCTGGACTTCGCTAAATTTGGCAGCGGTTCCGGTGTATTCACGTGTATGTGTTGTTCCAGCAATAGAGCCGAAGAAGAATCGGAAAAACTATTACAAATCAAAGACCAGTTAACAAAACTCAACGATAGTGTCGATGTCTTTAAGAATAATTCGGAGCCAAAGGTTCGGCGGACGTCTGTATTCCGGAGGAAATCGTTTCAAAATCGCGACCAAAACGACAACTTCTCTAATCGTCTCTCTATTCACGAGGAGGACGAAGACGAGGACGAGTCCACAAACGAGAGCTCATC